TAAAATTGAGAAATAAATGAAAATTTGTTGTTCTCTTCATTATTTAAAGATAATTTCCATTTTCAAGTTGATCCACCTAGATACGAAAAATTCATATATAAATGCGTATAATGGGGAGGAGTGAAAGACTTTCTTGAGTATCACTAATAATTTCTTAATAGGCATTATTGTGTGATGGTGCTACTTTGGTTGGGAAAAAGAAGCTGGGATACAAATTTGAAGTACTTTGACACATACGGCATCTTTACAGAATAAAAAGATCACTGAGATCAAGTCGTTCTATGGTGATGATGTAATATATGGACCATAGATATGGACCTTCATATTAGCCACAAGATTCATCTGAATAGTAATTTCACTTAAGTTTAATGAAATGATCATATAGCTAATATGAAGCTCCACATGAGAGGTCCATATATGGCACCCTCATTATATAATTTCGCCACTGATATGAGATAACATAAACTCTCAACGGGTCATCCTCTGTAAAGGGTAGTTATCTTCTCACTCAGGTTCAATTCTTGGTCTAGTGATATTTTTCTTTCCGATGTTCGTCGGAATCCTCCTCCCTCAATTATAAACAAAAAAATTAGCAAATGTGGTTTAAATCAATAAATATTTTTCTAACTCAAGTTTAAAAAATGAAAATTTTATTCTTCACTTGTCAATTATTTATGACCACAATTATGTGTTGTGGTTTATTATCATTATAGGAATTGATAAATGGCCAAATTAATTGAAGGTGCATAACTCTTCCCAATACGTTTAACTTGGGAAACAAGCGATGCAATGAAAATAGGAAAGAATCTAACACCGCTGTAATAATCTGTGGGTTCAATCACTACTAGATTTAGGGTTCTTCTTATTTATTTATTACTTTTTTGGTAATCAAAGTTGATTTATTACTTTTTTTTGAAAATAAAGTTGATTTATTAATTGAAAAGCGTAAAGATGGTTTGAATCCGAAGTATCCCCTTGTGCAAGAATACAGATTTACCGTGTCTGTAAAATTGGACTTTGTGTGCTAGGAAAACAAAGATCAGAAAGAAAAGGAAAGTCCTTTGGTCCAAAGCAATAATAAATAGAAAGAAAATAAAATAAAATCTAAAGTTTTCTTGCTCGCTTGGGAATACTAGTAAGGAATATGCCAAGGCAGTGGTAGGAAAAGAGACCTATATATATGTTTTCAGGGACGTCCCAAGGGAGTCACTCCCAAGTACAGTTTGAAGCCTCTTGTGCCAAGGCTGTCTGAGCTCCTTGGAGTTGAGGTTTGTATTTTATTAACAAAACAGTTTTGCTCCTAGGAATTTTCATGGAAAGTTCTATTTGCTCATCTTTTTAATTTTCTATTTTCCTCTGTTACAGGTTAAGATTGCCAATGACTGTATAGGCGAGGAAGTTGAAAAATTGGTTGCTCAACTTCCAGAGGGAGGAGTTTTGCTCCTTGAGAATGTTAGGTTCTACAAGGAGGAAGAGAAGAATGACCCTGAATTTTCCAAGAAGCTTGCTTCACTTGCAGATGTTTATGTGAATGATGCTTTTGGTACTGCTCATAGGGCTCATGCATCAACTGAAGGAGTGGCTAAGTTCTTAAAGCCTTCCGTTGCTGGATTCCTTATGCAGAAGGTATGCCGGTTGTAACTGACAATTGCACCTAGTTAAATTTCAAATTCTTCACTGCCCTACTTTTCATTGAAGTGATTCCCACTAAGAATATGATGGTCACAAAATGTTTCACATCTGGATCCTTGAAATTGTTGAGGGAAGAACAGTTTTCTTGTCATGATAAACACATCTTTTGTTTTTGTGTTGATCTCAGGAACTCGACTATCTTGTCGGTGCTGTGGGAGATCCTAAGAGGCCATTTGCTGCTATTGTTGGTGGTTCAAAGGTGTCATCCAAGATTGGAGTGATAGAATCCTTGTTGGAGAAGGTTAACATTCTCTTGCTAGGTGGAGGAATGATCTTTACTTTCTACAAGGCCCAAGGTTATTCAGTTGGATCATCCCTTGTGGAGGAAGACAAGCTTGATCTTGCAAAATCACTTCTTGAGAAGGCCAAGGCTAAGGGGGTTTCTATTTTGCTCCCAACTGATGTAGTCATTGCTGACAAGTTTGCTGCTGATGCGAACAGCAAGGTCAGTGGTTACTCTCTGTTTGTTTAGTAATCCTGTTGGAAATGGTGAAATTCTCGAGTTCTCAAAAGATTATATTTGCCTGCAGGTTGTGCCAGCGTCTGCTATTCCAGATGGTTGGATGGGATTGGATATTGATTTTTGAAGATTGTGGTCTTTCCAATCAAGAGATTTCACTGTGCCAAAAACAAGATAACATTAATACTGGACATGGATTTGATAAGGGGCCATGATCTAATTGTGAGCATAATTTAAATCACGGATCTAATACTGCTTGCATAAGTTAGAAGTGAGGATGGCAGAATTTCACTGACCATCATGGATTCCTGACATGCTTTGATAAATTGATTTGAGAATACTTGATTCTGTAGCCTTTTGTAGATATACCAACAGGTTGAGGAAAACCTTTTGAACCCAATGGGTTATTAACTTATTGAACAGTGCTTATGTTTATGCTATGTGAAATATATGTATCCTTTTCTTAGATGGTGGATGTTTGAGGTGAAGATTTTGAACTTGATGGGTTACTGAACAATGCTTATATGCATGTTAAGTGTAACATATTTTTTTTCATTTTATAACTAGTAGATAGTTGAATCAAAATTGAATGATCATGGACACCGATAATTTTGATTTGAAGATATCATTATACGTGTGAAGCATTTTTCTGTGAGGCAGTTAACTGCAAGTATGGTTTAGTGTGAGAGAATTCCCTACGTGTGTAACATTTGTAAGTTGAAAATATCAAATGCTGATCGCTAAGGTGAGATTTTGTGTTGAACTTGTAATTTTGGGAAAAAGAAAATTGAGCAAAATAGAGTAATAGATGCGTGTTACATGTGGCAGCAACTCCCTGACACAAGAGCGATGCAGTTGCGGAACGCGGTGCCGTCGACAATGTTTCAAAATGTTGCATCAGCAGCACAGTTCCATAATGTGGTATCAACACATGTGCATGAGAATCATCTCCCTCAATGACTCAAACTTTACCTTGTCCGTTAAAAGAGTGATGCATGTACAGGCGAACTGCTGAAGGAAGGACTGTAGTATAACTCAGGTGCTATTGATGGTAAATTTTTAGTTGTGCAACATTTGGATTTCAATTGATTACGTTACGCCCACCTCACCTAAAATGAGAAATATTTGGGAAAAGAAGGAGAAGAAAAAGTTGATTTATTTGTCTCATTTTGTGTGGGGAATGATTAGGCACCTAAACCAGGCAATGTTATAATGAACAACACTAATCCGATTCCAAGTCCAATTGAAACCACGTGTTTTGACAGGAAATTGAACTCCTTTATGCTATTTGCATCTCACGCCCCAACTGGACTCGGGAGAGATTTATATATTATTTCATTAGGGATTGTGTTATTATTTCATTAGAAGAAGGCGTGACATATGATATGAGATTGCATTATAAACAAGGAAAAGAAGAATAAAACATTTTTCTTTCTTATGGATTCCTCTTTTCATAGTCAATCTCAGAGATATGTTTTTATTAACGTACGTTTGGCTGGTTGGTTGGCCTAACTTGTTTCCGTAATGGAATTTGAGGAGAGAAAGTTACTAGTCTAGTATAGTATTAGTATGTATGTATGGCCAAACTGGCAAGCAGGTTATTATGATTCTAGATTTGTTTTAGAATCTGTGTGGACGGGAGCTACTAATAGTCAATGGTGAGGGGTAACTATGGATGTGAACCTTCATATTAGCCACACGATTCATCTGAATAGTAATTTCACTTAAGTTTAATGAAATGATCATATAGCTAATATGAAGCTCCACATGAGAGGTCCATATATGGCACCCTCATTATATAATTTCGCCACTGATATGAGATAACATAAACTCTCAACGGGTCATCCTCTGTAAAGGGTAGTTATCTTCTCACTCAGGTTCAATTCTTGGTCTAGTGATATTTTTCTTTCCGATGTTCGTCGGAATCCTCCTCCCTCAATTATAAACAAAAAAATTAGCAAATGTGGTTTAAATCAATAAATATTTTTCTAACTCAAGTTTAAAAAATGAAAATTTTATTCTTCACTTGTCAATTATTTATGACCACAATTATGTGTTGTGGTTTATTATCATTATAGGAATTGATAAATGGCCAAATTAATTGAAGGTGCATAACTCTTCCCAATACGTTTAACTTGGGAAACAAGCGATGCAATGAAAATAGGAAAGAATCTAACACCGCTGTAATAATCTTTGGGTTCAATCACTACTAGATTTAGGGTTCTTCTTATTTATTTATTACTTTTTTGGTAATCAAAGTTGATTTATTACTTTTTTTTGAAAATAAAGTTGATTTATTAATTGAAAAGCGTAAAGATGGTTTGAATCCGAAGTATCCCCTTGTGCAAGAATACAGATTTACCGTGTCTGTAAAATTGGACTTTGTGTGCTAGGAAAACAAAGATCAGAAAGAAAAGGAAAGTCCTTTGGTCCAAAGCAATAATAAATAGAAAGAAAATAAAATAAAATCTAAAGTTTTCTTGCTCGCTTGGGAATACTAGTAAGGAATATGCCAAGGCAGTGGTAGGAAAAGAGACCTATATATATGTCATGTTTCAACACTTTGTCAATCCATCAATTAAGCCACAACTCAAAACAGAACCTCCCGCCCAAGAAACCCTTTTCTCTCATAAACTCTACACATAAACCCTTTGCTTTCTTTGCCTTTCTTTCCCAATGGAGAAGATACTTGAAGTTGTTGGGGATAGAAGGCCCAAGACTAAGATTGTGTGCACGTTGGGACCGTCATCGCGGTCTGTGGAGATGTTGGAGAAGCTTCTGAGGGCCGGCATGAACGTTGCTCGCTTCAACTTCTCACATGGAACTCATGCTTACCACCAAGAAACTCTTGACAATCTCAGGATTGCCATGAACAACACTGGCATTCTCTGTGCTGTCATGTTGGACACTAAGGTAAAATTCATTATATGGTTGTGTGTATATTTACAGTCTTTTATTTTGCTCTAGCTTTCTATCAAGTAAATCTGAAAATTATGTAAATCTGTTTTCCAAATTCAATAAATTGTCCAGCTTTTAATTCCTTAAAAAAAATTCATAGATCTTGGTTTATATTGTGCGTCATTAGAATTTGTTCTCAATGCTATGAACTTTATTAACCCTTTTAAAATAATTGACACTTGTGTAAGAATGATGATTCAAAGAGGTCATCTTCATATTTGGTGCTGTACTTACTGATAAATTTGAGTTTGGGTAAATTTTCTACATGGTAGTACGAGAAACTGCTTGTTGATTTTTTATTTATTTAAATTTTTTATAAAATTCTTTCTTTTGTGTTTATTATGAACAATAATTGGCTAATAATGATGCTTTCTTTTGTTACAGGGTCCAGAAATTCGAACAGGGTTGCTGAAAGATGGGCAATCCATAGATCTTAAACAGGGTCAAGAGATCACCATCACCACTGACTATACAATTCTTGGTGATGAGAACATGATCTCTATGAGCTACAAAAGGTTGGCTGAGGATGTGAAACCCCAAACTGATATCTTGTGTGCTGATGGGAAAATTACTTTAAAGGTTCTGGCTTGTGACAAGGAGCTCGGTTTGGTACATTGTCGCTGTGAGAACTCTGCAGAGTTGGGTGAGAAGAAGAATGTCAATCTCCCTGGAGTGGTTGTTGATCTGCCAACTCTAACAGAGAAGGACAAAGTTGATATCTTAGAGTGGGGAGTTCCGAATAAGATTGACATGATCGCGCTCTCTTTCGTGCGCAAAGGTTCAGACCTTGTTGAGGTCCGAAAAGTGTTGGGGGAGCATGCAAAGAATATAATGCTTATGTCTAAGGTATGTAGTTGGAAATTAGTTTTTGATCAGTAATATGATTACTACAACATGTTAATAACTTTCTACTGATTATTCTTGATCTTTTATGTTTTGTTCTTCCGAAGGTTGAGAATCAAGAAGGGGTTGCAAATTTCGATGAAATTCTTGCAAACTCGGATGCATTTATGGTGGCAAGGGGTGACCTTGGAATGGAAATTCCAATTGAGAAGATATTCTTAGCTCAGAAGTTGATGATAGAGAAGGCCAACAGACAAGGAAAGCCGGTGGTGACTGCTACTCAGATGTTGGAGTCCATGGTCAAATCTCCTCGTCCCACCCGAGCTGAAGCCACTGATGTTGCCAATGCAGTCCTTGATGGAACCGACTGCGTGATGCTCAGTGGAGAAACTGCAGCCGGGGCCTATCCTGAAATTACAGTTCAAACCATGGCCAAAATCTGTGTTTCTGCAGAGGATTCTATAAACTATGGGGAGCTCTTCAAGAGAAAGATGGATGCTGCACGAATGCCTATGACCCCATTAGAGAGCTTGGCCTCCTCAGCAGTGCAGACGGCAAATTGCACCAAGGCAGCTCTGATTTTAGTCCTGACCAGAGGAGGAAGCACGGCGAAGCTCGTGGCTAAGTACAGGCCAAGCATGCCAATTTTGTCTGTGGTGGTGCCTGAGATAACAACAGACTCTTTTGAGTGGTCATGCAGTGATGCAGCTCCAGCAAGGCATATGGACCAGACTCGATCAAAACTTTCAGTGAAGCTCTGGATATCACTCAAACCATTATTTGGAATGGACCTATGGGTGTTTTTGAGTTTGAAAAGTTTGCTGCTGGGACTGAGGTACTTAATGAACTATATTTCTGCTGAATTATCAAGCATCTATTACCTATTAACCTAATTCATAGAAGACTCTATACTCTGTTCAGTCCTATTCGTTGATTTGAATTAGATTATTTGTCCTCTTTTTTGCCCATTTGTGGTACATGACATGAGACTGGGTTTTGTGTTAACTCAGATCTGTGTGTAACTGTTTTTCCATCCAATTGGTTTCTTTCAAGTCACTCTTGAGAAGATTTTTATCATAAATGCTGAAAGCCCTGTGATATTTCATTAAAAAATGTTGTTCCTTCTGGGTCATATAATAAATTGCAGATTCTTAGTCTTTTTCTAAAGTAATCTTTTGGATACTATTCAATTACCCTCTCCAAAGTAATTGCTTCTACTGCCACTGATCTAATTCTTTTCTTGTTAACAGGCAATAGCTAAGAAGCTTGCAGAGCTCAGTGACAAGGGGGTGACAACAATCATTGGAGGTGGTGACTCAGTTGCAGCTGTTGAG